TTGCAACTATTAGCAGTAGCAAACCACTACCCAAAGGAAAACAGTTCAATTCAGGAAGAAATCTTTTTTTTTTCATTTTAATCACATTGTTAAGACATCATCCTTATTGCTAATGTTAGAATTTCTGCTGGCTGACAATTAATATTCTTATGTTGTTCTAAACCAGAAAGTAAGAATGATTGGTTGTACTTTGTTTAATTTATCTCAATAAAATATTTCATAATATTCTATAGCTTGATGAATTAATTTATTTAACTTGTCAGTGTTAATAACTTTGATTAGGTGAAGAAGTTGTAATGTGCTGTTAGAACAAACATCCTGAACAGTACCTCTAGATTTTTCTCTTTATCAATAGCTCACTGTTAATTTCTTATTTAATTACAATCATTGTGATGAGAGATGGAAATAATTCCACAGACACTTAAGACATTCTTTTCCTTTTACTAAAATATAATCATCTCAATCTTATTTGTAACATAATGAGATAGAATGAATCATTCAAAAAGGTAGAAATAAATTTCCTGACTGTTGAACTTGAACTTAGTCTAATGGCTTACTTCTTCTTTCTGGAAGTTCATAAAAGGATATTTTGCTAGATGAATTTAACTTAGAAAGACATGCATATAATATGAACAATCTAGTAAAATGTGTTTATTTGGGAAGGGGATAAATGACTTCAATTCAATGTTAACCCCAAATTTTTTTAGTGTTAGAAATGATGTATATTTGCTCAGCCTAGGCAGGGGTAGGCAGCATGACAGATAGCTGGCTTCGAAGCTAGAGATAACTGAGTTCAAGTACCACATCTGATATATACTGGCTGTGTGACTGTAGACAAGTCATTTAACCTCATACTTTAGGCAACTCTTTGATACTACAAGTTGCAAAAATGATGTAAGCCTGCATTTAGAGAAGAGTTTTCTTACTTGGAAGTTTCCTGCATGAATGAAATCACAGAGAGAGAGAAAGGGAGAGAGAGAGAGAGAGAGAGAGAGAGAGAGAGAGAGAGAGAGAGAGAGAGAGAGAGAGAGAAAGGGGGAAAAAATGAAATCACTGGTCTATTTTTTATCTCTATTTAAAATGTAACCGATGAGTTGGATGTGAAAGGGAATACCTGTAGTCCCTATTGCTAATGAGGTTGTGGCTGGTGCATCACTTGAGTTCAGGTAGAGCTAAAAGACAATCAACTGGCCACACTAAGTTCAACACCACTATGTTAAGTCCGAAGGAGTGGAGGGCCATCAGCCTGCTTGAAGAGGGGTGAACTGACCCAGGTTAGAGAAACAAACAAACAAACTTCAAAGTAGTTTAAAGCTTCCCTTATGATCAATATCAGGATCAGGCTGTGAGTAGGCATTGTAGTTCCAGTCTAGGCAAGATAGAAATAATATCTGATCAATAAGTGCAATAACTAACTGTGCATAATATTACTACTACTGCTTCCATTATATTAATAACAAGAATAATAACAAGAATAATACTAGCAGCTATATGGCAACTTAACCAAGTGTTTTATGTACATCATCTTTTTTTGTTGTTACCTCCAGGATCAAATACAAAATCCCCTGGTGTTCAAAGTCCTTGATAACGCACTCTCCCTAAACCCCGTCAACTTTCTAGTGTTCTGCTTTATTTCCCACCATTTACTCTTCAGTCCAATGACATTGGCTTCTTTGCTTCACCATGAACAAGACACTCTGTATGCTCTGGGTGTTTTTTATGGCTGTCCATATGCCCAGAATTCTCTCCCTTCTGATGTCCTCCTCCTAGATTCTCAAGCCCCCTTCAAGTCCCAACTGAAAATCCAGCCTCTACAAAGAGCCTTTTGAAAGCCCTCCTCATTCTATTGCTTTCCTGTTTTCAATTGTTCCTATTCATCCTGCATACGGCTTGTTTATACATATTTGTTTGCTTGTTGCCTCCCCCATTAGACTGTGAGCTTCTTTGGGGCAGGAAATGTCTATTGCCTCTTTTTGTATCCCCAGTGTTCAGAATCATGCCTGACACATAGTAATCACTTTGTAAATGCTTTTTCACTGGTTCCTATAACAGCTTTGTGAATTAGGCATGTCATATTTGACATGCATATTTGTCATGTATATTTGTCATGTAGAATCATTATTTTTAAAATATGTGTATCACATTTATATTAAGAGTACATTTTAAGGTATTAGTAATATGTCACATAATCTTAAAAAAGCAACTAGTAGAGATAACCTTTTATTGTCCCAATAGCATATGTTTTAAAATCTAAGGACTTACCACCATCATTGCATAGCACTACTATAAGCCCTGTATCAATCATGGATATCTATTTGGCATATGGTTACTTAAACTGAATTATATTTATTACTCTGGGCAGAAAATGTTGACAAAGTGTGTCTATAACTACCTTACTTCCATGTAGGGCACTAGAGGACTAGCCTACTAAATGTCATCCAAATAACTTAACAGAAGTGATATGGCTTCCATGACTAACTAATTCATGTTTTTCTCATGTTGTTGTTCACTGGTTTCTGACTCTTATTGAACCTGTTTGGAGATTTCTTGGCAAAGATACTGCAGTGATTAGTTGTTTCTTTCCCCAATTCATTTCATGGATGAGGAAACTGAGGCAAACAGCATAAGTGACTTACCCAGGGTCACACAGCTAATAAGAATCTGAGGCTAGATTTCAACTGAGGTAGTTGAGTCTTCCTGACTCTCGGCCTGGCACTATGTTCTCTGCCCTTCCTAGCTGCCCTGATACTTTTGATACTGGCAACCTAATTCAGCCTATAGCATTTCATAACTTTTAACATGCATTTTCTGATAGTTACATCTTTATTAATCTTTATGTAGATTTTCTCCTTAAGCTACTACAAATAACTTAGAAATTCCACTGTATATATGGCCAATGTGGAAGACTGAAGTTTAATTTCCCAAACAATGTATTGGGACATCTAGGTGAATTATAAGAAGTCTTTGTTGGGTCATGTTTTTCTGGGTTTCTTCACTATCCTGTTATTAATTTTTAATAAGTGTGTATAAGTTTCAGTAACTGAAATTCAGAGGGGAGAGAGGATAGCTGTTGAATTTATAAAATGGTTTAGAATCAGAGTTTGAGGGGAAGCAGATGAATAGATAGCTGCATTGGTGGATGCCCAGATAAGTTTCAGGGAGTAAATAAATGCACCCAAAGTGCTCAATATATCCCAACAATTTCACAGGCATATCACAAACTAGGTTGGGAAGTATTCATATAGAGCATTCCTTGTGACCCTATCATTTCCATTATTTGTATTTTCTCTAAAAAGGTTCTGCCCTTTCCTGTTTATACTAGATTGCATTCATCTACACTGCTAAGTGCTGCAAACCTATTTTATTTATCTTGAAAGCTATTTTTGAAAAAAAATAAAGATGTACAAAAGAGACTACATGTGAAGCAAGTTGGGCTTTTAAACCTTATTTTTTTTTATGAGGAAGTAGCTCTGAGCTAGAATTAGACCTATACACATTAAATGCTTCAACTTCTCAGTGAAATATAAAATTATAAAGTACTCAGGTTATTATTGGCATAAATTTAATGTTTCATACATAGAATAGCCAGGGATAAAGATATAATTATGTAGATTATTAGCAATGATAAATGAGGAAACAGTAGTCATCTAGTCATTTCCCTTGCCTGTTCAAGCTCAACTGCGGCCCCTTCAAGTTATATATGACTTTAAGGTACATCTAAAGAGTTTCCTTGGTTGTTCTACTCTTGGTAGCTAGTTCGAGGTTCTATTTTGGATTAACTCTCAGCAAATGAATGTAGTGTTGTTAATTTTTCTTCCTCTAGTCTTTAAAATTTACTGTTGATTTATTTCATTTTTATATCTTTTCTGTTTTTCCTCTTAATCTCCATCCCTGTTTTCAGATTTTAGTGTAAAATTACTGTTCCACTTTTATATCCAACAATATAAAAGTAGTGAAAAATTCATTGAAGAAAATACCACCTTAGCACTGTTGGGATTTTTAAACCCCTTGCTCAGTTGGCATAAAGAAGTCTAAAATCTGGATAGTTTAGATAATCATCTACATACCTACCAAGGCCCACTGTACATTTAAGAGTTAATTATATCAGTGTTTAATATTCCAATGACTCATTCTAATGGAGTTTATGGAAAATAAAAAATCACTGGCTTTAATGAAAGAGAAATATATTAAAATGGGAATAGTTTGGATCATGGATCGTCTTTTTAAAAAAGATAAACACAATGCCAAGTGATCCTTGCCAATTCTTTGACTATTACTTATTTATAGAAACCAATAGACGTCTAGTTCTATGTTCATGCCATTAAACAATGATTAATGATGTGTATATATGTATGTATGTGTGTGTTTATATATATACATATGTGTGTGTGTGTGTGTATATATATATATATATATATATATATATATGAATTTCTTTTGCTGAGTCACTGAATTATGCCTCTCTGCCCATAGGGTAATGGAAAGTAAAAGTTAAAAGTGCATTTTACAAAGCATTTTAATTACTTTTTTAGCAGAGGAAACCATTTGCCTAAAAGAAGGCTTAAGTTACTCAGCTTACTGCTCCTCCTTTTGAAGAACGACGCTTCCACTAGAGAAAGGGAGACATCTACTTCCAGAAGAGAGAGCCTCTGAATGATCTAGCTGATAATTCCGGGCTGGCTGCTAAATGTGGAGCGGTGAGGCTGGCTTGCTCAATCCAATGCAGAAATTTCCCCCTTTTCTAAATACCCAAATCCCCATAGAACTGCGTGGAGTTACTTTCCCTTCAAGGAGACGTGAATAATTGTGATTTGTAGTGCTTTCAGTTTGCGGTGGTATTTTCCTGTTGTGTTAAATGCCTCTTACTAAGTAATAGATGTGATTTATGTGGACAGCAAAGGGGTGTATGGTAGATTCTGTGATTAATCAGTGAATTCCCATCCTCTGGCATCTCTCACTGCCCCTCTTGCGTGATGTAAGATCAGACGTACTCTGCATTGAAAAGTCAAGACACACAAGCGGCTCACACACGCACACACACACATACACTCCCTCTGTCTCTTTCACACACACACATACACACACACACACACACACACTCACTCACACATACACACACATCCATACACCTTCCAAATCCTGCTGAAGGCAGGGAGAAGGCAGACGGGCTGGGCTCATTTAGCAGAAGAATTTCCAGTGACATTTGTAAATGACGCTGCTCCATTCCGGGCTCAGTGCTGCTGCCGCTGCCTGGCCGAGAGTGCAGCCAAGCAACCCCGAGCGCAGGCTGCCTTACCCGGCAACAACAATGTCTGAGTTTCTCTTAGCCTTAGTCACAATCTCGGGATTATTGCCTATTGCTAAGGTGCTGACCGTGGGAGCCGATCGAGGTAAGGAGAATACTTTATTATGATTTCCTCCCCTTCTCTCCCAGTCTCTCGCCCGGCTTTCCTACTAGATTATTCTAGGGAAGAAGTGATTGGGAAACTTGGGTCCTGCAGCCCCACTGCACGGGACACGGTATACTAAGGTGTACAGTTTTTGTTTTGGGGTTTGCTATGTCTGTGTGTGTGTGTGTCTTCCCCCCCCGCCCCGGCAATGATGGGGGTCTGAAAACCAGGCGTCCGAGACATGAAGCTCTAGAAGTCTTTTTTTTTAGTCCCCCCCTTTAAGAAAAAAAAAAAACGTTTCTGATTTTGCCCAGTTGAGAGCGTTTGGACCTCGCAGCTCGTTGCTACCCGTGCACCCGAACGCTGCAGATGTTAGCATCATATTTCCGTGTCTTAAAGAAGCTCCCCTCGCTGCCTATTGCTAAGCGATCCTGGTGCACTGCAAGTCTTTGAGGGCTCTCCAGCCTCTACGTTAGGCACTTCTGTGCGCTTCCCTCCTCAACTTATCACTACATTGAACTTCCTTACCTGCTGCAACCAACCTTTGTGGAAAGGGAAAAAAAAAAAAGAAGAGGGGGGGCTGACAGCCTCCCGTCCTTTTCTGCAGTGTTAGTGGAACAGACTTCCCAGCGAGATATGTCTCCAAGATAGGGAGCAATTGCTTTTCGAGACCAGCTGGTGAAAAAACACCACCAGAATGGGTCCTAAACTTCTGGGCCCCCTTTTCATAGGTCAGAGCTTGGCAACATAGCCTCTTTATTACCTTGAGGTGCCAAACTCACTAGCTAGTGCAGTGGCTTTCCTGTCTGGCATTTTGTTCTTGCTTTAGATCCAGTAGCCTATGAGTGGTCCCAGTTTCAAGGGGGGAAGGGAAATGAGATCAGAATAAAGGTAGATTCTGCAAAACTTTCTGTCTGGAAAGCCAAGAATCTTTGTAGAAGTTTGATAACCTTTGGCAACAGAAGTGGAGTGAAAAATTAGGCTAGCAGCGTATTGGGAGTGTTTGTAATAGTAGTGTCTAGCTATGAAGTTGCAGAACAGGGTAATTTATAAATCGAGCTTTATCATTAAACTGATCTCATGGTGACTAATAATGGTGAGGCTTTTTGTTTAATTAGAAAAGGAGATAAACTATACACCAATGGCAAGCAAAAAGGAAAAATGTAGCATTGAGTGATCTAATAACTGTTTGTATGAAAGCAATTATGCATTGACTAAAAATTATTGCTTCATTATAAGAAAGAACACAGGCATTAATTGTGATGGTTCTATCCAACCTGCTGTTAGCATCTGAAGCTTATAGAGTTTATGTCATATCCACACGTGGCATTTACTGTGGCCGGTAGTGAGTTTAGTATGCATTACTTCAGGACACATGGCATGTTGTTTTACATCTGCTAATAATAATCTTTAATTAAAAAAAAAGCTCTGCCATTTATCACAAATTATTCCATCTCTGGACTATAGCCTCTGACAGATCACTTCTGAACTTGTTTTAACTTGTTTTGGAGTTGATTTGGAAACAGGAACAAATGTGCTAATGAGGAGAGGGACATATGACTTTTACCTAAAAGTAGTATTTAAAATTGTGAAGATCAGGCATCTACCTTTCTTAGGAAATCTGTTCGAAGTAGGGCCAAAGCTAGGCACCAGAATGAAGTTTGATTGTTTGTTTATTTGTTTTCTCACTCCAAATTCTTGCTTCTAAAAAAAAAAAGGCATTAGCAGAACATCACTGTTGGACTGTTGGACTGTTGGACTGTCTCACATTGAGAAAGACTTGGCCTCATTGAGATCAGGAATTTTGGTCTTTTTAGTGTTTATGAGAATACGGCTGTTTCCAGGGTGATAGGAATGAATGTCTGTAGAGATCAAGAATTAATAAAAAAAAGTTAAACATGTTGAGCTCCAATCCAGCTAGTTTCTTCTGAAATGTGGACTAAAGAAGTTAAGGGCTTTCTTTTATGTATCAAACCAAAGCTTTGGATATTTTTGCATTTATGTTTATGTATGTATTTGTGTACCTATGAAAGCCTGATAAATATAAATATATATGTGTATATAGCGTATATATGTTTGTATGTATGTTTATATGTATAAATCCAGGTTAGCTCTGTAGCTGAGATAGACAGGGTACATCATTATTCATACCTCTATAGTTCATGTAGAGATTTGATGTTTAAACAACCTGTCATTTTTGTCTACAAGTCAAGCATTGTACCATTATATAGCCAAGTCACATCCATCCGAATAAGTAAAAATGGTCAAGGATTGCTTAATTTGGCCTGGTTTAGCATGCCAACTTGAGTTGCTAAACCTGTTAAAAAAGAACCCAAAGTATCACAACCAGTTATTTGAACAAAAGAGAATGAATGGGTCATATGTAGTGGCAAGGAGAAATCTGTCTGGTTTTAAAGGGACAAATAGTCCAATTTCAGCATGAAATATGGCACTCAGAAAACCTGAAGCTATAAGAAGACAGCCTCAAGAAAGAGGTTAATGAGCTATAACTTATTGAACAGGCTTATTATGTTCATTGCCCTTTAGGAACAGATCAGACACCTGGATATTCCTGAAATACCCATGTGTTTTCAATGAGATAGCTTCACACCAGAGAACTTATAGCCTTTCTCATGCTCTCTAAATATATGTTGGTCAATGGCCAGTTTACTAAACTTTTTTTTTAGATTGAAAAGAAATGCCAACATCACTATCAATCTGATGTTTTGCTCAATCACTCTGCACATTTGTGAGCATGAATTCTGATATCTTATAAAGCTGTACTTGAAATTCTGTGTCGCAGTTGTACTTATTAACCTATCTTCTATTTTAAAATTTGTGTTTACTTTTTTTCCCAATTATATAGGTTCCAATGAAGGGTTAAATTAAGCAAAAAAAAAAAGTATTGCTTATTGTCAAACCTGGTTAGACTACATCACTTCTTAAAGAGGCAAAATCATTGTAAATCATATCAGCCAAAAGAGAGGAATGAATCAGTTTCACTTAGAATCAACCAATTCATCATACCATAATGTCATATCACATCAAAGCATTGTTTGATTAAAATTAAGACTTAAAAGGCATCATATTTAAAAATGTCATTGTTCTTGAAAGAAAAGACTCTAAGGAAGCTTCTAGTAGTATGTATTCAGTTCTCAGGTTTGATGATATTTGGAAGCATATTTCAAAATTGTTATACCTAACTTTTAGATTATTTTATTATGTGAAGGAGAAAATCATTGAAAAAATCTATGGATGTGTATGTCAAAGCCTGGTTACTAGTTGTATTCTTTTTCTCCCCCTAATTGCACCCAGGAGAAAGACCTAGAAATTCATATAAATGTATATAGTGTTGTCGTACATGGCTTTAATCTTGTTAGATGCTCTCTTATTAGTTTAGACTTTAGAGCTTCTCATTGTTTTACTTCTGTCTCTTCCAATATCATATGTGTTAAACTGGGTAACAAAGTAAAGAGAAAGTGGGAAGAAGAAAATTGAGAGAATGTTAATGGTTGTAAATATAGTGGCTGGGGTAGGAAATAATAGAACACCAAGCAAAAGATAGGGTTTGGAAAGAATGGAATGAAATAAAAAAGAAGATTGTTGGAGATAATAAAAAATTTTTATGGACAAAAGGGCAATTTCTAAAAATAAAATAACTGTGATTTTGATCTAACTTTGCAATCAAAATCACTTTAGAAACTTTGCAGAACCTTGATCATTTGATGATACTCCCTTACATACATAGTTAAATATAAATGAAGCTCTATGGGTGAAAAATATACAGGGACATTTTAGTGTGATTACATTTTAATTAATTGTGGCATTGGTTGAGAGAAGCCTAAAAATATTCAAGTGGCCTCAAAGAATAATCTTAGGAAAGTGGGTCCAGATCTGGAAAAAGTGTCATGGTATGCTTAGGAAGAATTGCTGCCTTTTGAATGCTACATGCCATTCAGATGGAAACCATGAAATATCTTGGGCAAGATAGAACAAACATCCTGAGAATATTTTTTTGTTTCATAGTCTACTTAATTTTATTTTATCATCCTGGGATTCTATATAGGTAGGCTCCATTTAAAGTTATATTTTTGAGTACACAGAAATGTAACTTGGTCCTTTAAATGACTGTAGGATATTAGGTGCAACGTTTAATATCTTCAAACAGCATAATCTTTGTCTTCATATTATTTATGTTTCTATTATCAATACTTGCATGTAGTGTGAAATGTATTCATCTATTACTTTCCCAACTTCAGCTATTTTTCTGGTGATAGTGGATTATGTATTAACAGTACAAATTAGAAGTATTATGATAAATAAATCTATCTTCGCATCTGTCTGTCAAAACAATTCTTTTTTCAAAGGAAGCACTTGTCTTCATTCCAGATAGGCACATTCAAAAAGAATAGAGGAATTTATACTAAAAACCACATATGCCGTGCCAACATGATGTCATCAGTTAATACTCATAATTTCCCACTTAAATAAGGCAACCTCTAACATTACATATATTGCCTGTCTTTCCTTCCTTCCTTCCTTCCTTCCTTCCTTCCTTCCTTCCTTCCTTCCTTCCTTCCTTCCTTCCTTCCTTCCTTCCTTCCTTCCTTCCTCTGTCCCCCTCTCCCTCTCCTCTTTTTCCTCCCTCCCTCTCCTTCTTCCTCTCCCTCTCCCTTTTTTATCATAAAAAGCTTTGCTCTCCTAGACTTACCTTGTTTGGAATTATGCAAAGGTATATTCTTTGTGTAACATAGAGATGAAGGCTTGTTACATATTCTTTTTTTGTTTTTTTTGGTGTGGCAATTGGGGTTACATAATTTGCCTAGAGTCATTCAGCTAGAGTCAAGTGCCTGAGGTCACATTTGAACTCAGGTCCTCCTTACTCCACGGCTGGTGCTCTCTCCACTCTACCACCTAGCTGCCCCTGTGCACATTCATTTTCGCAATAAAGACTGTGTAATTAAAGGATCTTCAAGCTTCAAAATATAGGTAATTTATCT